CTTTGGATTACGTAATAGGAATGATCCCGTTAAAAGATTCTCAAAATAGTGTGTTGATTGACGTGACAAAAATCGCAACTCAAACTAAAAGTATAGTTAAAAATGTTTTCGCTTTAATAAGACAACAACTGAAGAGTTTTAAAGTAATGCCTAATAATGGAGCTAACGAAGACGATAAAGATTATAAAGAAAGAATTCGTAAATCATCCGAGGTATTGTTGCAATCGTTTGACAATGTGTTAAATATTGGTGAAAGTGATGAACGTGGTAATTTGGCCAAATTCAAAAGCAATCACTGCGTTGAGCCTGGTGAGATCGCTGATGATCTTATCAGTGAATGGTTCAAAACTTTACAAGAGAAATATGAGAAAAGCACCGACGAAGAGTTTGTTAAGATCATTCACTATCAAATTAAAGATTTTGTCAGCATGATGGTCACACTCTACCATTCTAGTTTGGGGTTTGTATATGGAAACGGAATTACCACTCTTTCTAATATAATTCCTACTGATTAGTTTAAGTATATACATATGTTATAATTGACATCGAATTTTAAAGTCTTTTTAGTTTAAATAATAAACATTGTCTACTATTAAAATATCAAAAAATGCAATTCAACAATGTTCATTTTCTTCAATTTAACACTTTATATATTACTCGTGGTATTTTTAAGTTAAGAATAATTAACTCGCCACTTAGTGTGAATTAAAGTTTTTAAATTATAATGTATAATTTCTAATATTTTGTGCGCCATAATGGTAATGGACATATAAATAAAAAATAAAGTTTATTACAAGTAATCTGCCTATGGAAAAGTTATTTAATTTTGAGCTCTATGATTGACTTTAGATATATGATAAAAACTGGTTTCAATAAATAAAATTGTAAAGAAACAATTCAAGCTGTTAACTGTTTCAGTCTGTAATTCAATAAGTATTCAGTGTATGCCTACAAAATGTAAACCTACGCCGTACACTAGTTCTAGTTTTTACGACAATTCATATGTTTTACATAATGTTTGTATACTTTTTTGTAGAACCAAAAATTGCTTTACCTCTGGAAATGTTATTTAATTTTGAGCTCTGTGATTGACTTTAGCCATGTTCGCACTATTATTGCCTGCTCTTGTGGGATGCTTGCTGCAGTCTATATGGGCGCCTAAATTTTTTATTATTTCATTCTAGTCTTTAGGTTTATAGATTACCGGATCATATTTTTACACTTTATTATTTAAACTTTTTTTTTTAATACTGTGGTCGTTTTCCCCATATTTCGACTTTTCTATTAATTTTTATCTTTGTTTTAAATTTTTGATTCGTTTTAATGGAAAATCCCAATTTGAAATGTACACATTTTATGTAAAATTTCAACAGCGTTTTACCCATATTTATATTGGGCGCTTAGGCAGCGCAACGGAGGTTAAGAATATAGTCATCATAATATTCATAGAACAAAATTTTATTTTACATAATTCATAAAACACTGCATAATTTTTTTTTAAAGAAAATCATACTTTTTGTTATTTTTACTAAATGTGTCTTCATTTTAGGATAGACTATTTTAAAAGGTACTACCTATAAAAAAAAACAAATTATTATAGACGGAGATCAACCGTTAAACACACGATTTTAAGCATATTATTATCATTGCAATGCTTTTTTATATACTCTTTATAATCGGATTAAATAATTTTCATTCACAGACAATATACATTTTAGTTTTTGATTTCATTGCAACACCTGAATAAATATTCATAAGCAGCGACTCCGTTTTAGGTGACGCACAGTGGAGTAATTTTACAAAAAAGCTGGCGACACGCTTTAAAAGGTAATATTATTTGTGTATAACTAAAATAATGTATAGATACTAATGATAATGAAATATTTTAAAAAAAATATCCTTCCAACTCACGCCATTTAGATTCCTTTCCGATGTTATCTCATGTTATGCTATGATAACAAGGAAAGGGAGCGCCCGACGAATATTAAAATTGTACTGTAGTGCATTACGTCTACAAAAGTTGGTTTTTTAGATGTGGCTAACACGGTTGTTTTAATTTACACAAATAATTAGTCTATATATATTCTGTGTACATATTCCATGTCCACGTGGGTGGGGGCCAGAATACATCTGCGGTAGTCCATGCCTGTCGTAAGAGGCGACTAAAATGGACCTAAAGGTGGGCGGCAGCGTCTTCAGTAATGGCTATAGGTGGATGCTTCGTAAGCAGGTACAGCTATAGCCAGGTAGTAGTAGTAGGCGTGCATGGAGACCATGAACATGGTTACTGTAATGTGATGTGGAAGGCAATGGAATACCACCACATTATAGTCCCGAGACTAAATCCCTACAAATTTACTATCTATGAAAAATTTAGAGAAAAAACTCTAAAATCGATGGATATGGCGTATCGAAGCGTGTTGGGCCCGGCAGGAGAAGGAGCGAGGTTTCTCAGGTCGTTATCAAGCAAAATCCTTGTTTTAGAATTGCGACATGGAATGTGAGAACAATGAATACAATTGGAAAGTCTAAAGTTATAAATGCATCGATTAAAAATAAGTATATAAGGAATAAGTTAAACTAGATGGAAAGAAGAGGGAAAAGTAAGAAGTGACAACGTATACATAGTACACTCTGGAAACAGAAATGGACAGGAAGACGTGGCCATAGTAATGGATAAGCAGGCTGAAAAATCCCTCACTCTCACAAAAATATATAACACAAGAGTTATTACGGCCAGGTTCGCAATCAAAATCGCCGGCCTAGTGCTAATTCAGGTATACATGTCCGTTACAAAATATAGCGATGCAGAGACGGAGGAAACTTATGAGTTAATAGAAGAAGCACTAAAGGCAACAAAGGCAGAAGACAATGTCAAAATAATTGGAGATTAGAACGCGTTTGTTGGAGAAGGCAAAGATGATAACATCGTGAGACAATATGGACTAGGAATGAGAAACGATAGAGGACAGAGAATGATAGATTTTTGTAATGTAGAGAAATATGTGATAACGAATACATGGAATAAAGTGCACAAAAGAAGACAATACACATGACCAAGTACAGGAGACCTGTATAGAAACCAAATAGACCATAGATTAATAAATTCGAGATATCGAAACCAAGTATTTAAATCAATAGCTTATCCGGGTGCAGATATCGACACTGACCACAACCTTCTATTGATGACATGTAAATTAAAATGGAAAACATTTGTAAACCTTAGAAGGAACCGAAATGGAATTTGGAGAACATAAAGAAAAAAATATGGAGTTCCAAAAACATATAGAAGAAGAGTTAGAAGATGAAGTAGAAGAGATATCAATAGAACAAAAATGGCAAAATATTAAAGCAACACTGAAAGGAGCAGCAGATAGTATTCTAGGATTAAAAGAACAGGAAAAATAAAAACCCTGGGTCACAAATGAAATATTGTCCAAAATGGAGAAAAGAACTACACTAAAACAAAGATACGGGCAGAAATCTCAGTAGATGATTATATGATAGAACAGGTGAACAATTTCTAATATTTAGGTCGAACAATCACAGATGATGCAAAATGCAAAACGGTAATTAGGAGAAGAATTGAAATGGCGAAAATTGCATTTACGAAAAAAAAGCAGATCCAATAGGATTCGTTGATAATAATCAACGAAGCTAAACATAACACTCAAAAAAAGGATACTGAAGACATATGTATGGCCTATAGCATTATACTCAGTGAAGACATGGACATACAACAAAAATGAAGAAGAATTGATAAAAGCATTTGAGATGTGGTGCTATCAACGTATGCAAAAGAATAACTGGGTAGATAGAGTAACAAATGATCAAGTACTAAGTAAATGAACAAAGGAAAATGATAGATACCATAAAAGCGAGAAACCTACAATGGCTAGAACATATTTAGAGACAGGAGACATAAGTCCCATATAAGTAGTCCTTGAAGAAATTACACCAGGGAAAATAGGAAAAGGAAGACCTAGAGTAAATTTTATATCACAAACATGTGGAGAACTGGGTGTAAAATATGTAGATATTAAAGGAAAATAGAAGACAGGGAGGAATGGAGGAGATGTGAAGACGACAATACCAGTAGGAAGACTAAATAACCTAAAAGGATGTGTGAATCGACCTTAAAGGACCTTAAATCGATACACATATCAGTGACGTGACAGTGCCGTGACCGGCACGTGGTCCGGCCGACAAGATCGAAAATATTCTTCCAGGCATTTAAAGGGGCTTGTTCATACAAGACCGGCGCGTGACAGTGACAGTGCACAGTGCCTTCGCCGACACCGTACCGTGATCATCACATTAATTCCCGAGGATATTTTTTAAATTTCAGGGCCGCGTGTCGGTAGGGTTTTCAGCTATTGCGTGTTGTGCGAACTGTGAATAGAAAAACTCCATCTATTTTCTGGTTCTTTCCATCCTCAGTTGGCCGTTGTTGATTTATTGGTTTAAAAATATGAATGATGAATTTTCTGACATTCTAAAATATTCGAAAAACTTCGTTCCATCATCTGTTAATTCTTTATATAATGTAGAAAATACCCCTTCTGTATGCCTATTTGTCCATGCCTTATGAACCCACATCCGTTTTTAACCACCTTTTCTTCCTCTTCTTCGTCCAAAACCATAGCAATCATCAGTAGTTCATTTTCCGAAAACATTTTGGCCACGACCTATAGACCTAATGACGGATGAAACACTGACCAGTGTGAATAGAAATCACGACTGGCGGAATCTCGGAACGGTCACGGCACTGTCACGTCACTGATATGTATTAATCGACCTTAAAAGTGTAATCTAAAATTGTTAATTAATTTAAATTCCTATATAATTTTATATTTTAATAAATATACTGCATAGTACAGACTAGCGATAGTCGTGTGTACTGATCGAACATTTGAACTGTACAAATATTATTGAACACGTCATACTTCGGTAAACGATCCCTTTTTTTTACCAAATAATAGTCAGTTGTGTTAGAACCATTAGAACGTATATTTATGTGTTAAATTGTTTGAATGCTTTTGGTATGTTAAAATGATTTTTAATTCGACAATCACTTTATTAATTTTTTTAATGGTATTTTTTAAAGTTTCATTATGTCCCAGCGAAGATGAAAAACAGTTTGTCAACACACTGGATACGCTTCTGAAATTTTCAGGATGGAAGCAAATCAAAATGAGAGCCAAGTGTCTGGAACCGACCGGCAATCGAATGGAATCATATAACGGAAAAGATTTAGTAACAAAAATTCAGTATAAGTTGGACCTAAATAAAGAATACGAACCAGATTTGGATAATCGTATTGTCGATGAGAAAAACGTGGAGACAAAATATTACATGGCACTACGTTTGTTAGGGTGTGTATACACAGACGTCTTACTAAAATTTTTAATTTTTTCAAAATACCTTATTGAGTTATGCAATACGGAAAGACGAAGAAGTAAACTCAAAGATGAAACCAAAAAGAAATCCTGGGGAATTTTAATTGCTGTGTTACTACATTTAGAAAAATGTCAGCCGATGACGGAGTACATGTTTACAGCTTTGCAGTACATAATAGGGTTGATCCCGTTAAAGGATTATCAAAATAGTGTGTTGATTGACGCGACAAAAATCGCAACTTTCACTAAAAGTAAGGTCCAATTGGTTTTCGCTGGAATACGAAACAAAATTAAAAATATGTCGAGTAATGGATCCAACGAAGACGATAAAGATTATAAGCTAAGAATTAGTAAATCTTCCAAGATATTGTTGAAATCTATCAATAACGTGTTGAACGTTGATGAACATGATGAACGTGGTAATTTGGTCAATTTCAAAAGCATCAACTGCGTTGAGCCCGCTGAGAAAGCTGATGCTTCTATCAGTGAATGGTTGAAAACTTTACAGGAGAAATGTAAGAAAAGCAACGATGAAGAGTTCGTTAGTATCATTGATGTTGAAGTTCAAAAGTTTATCGACGAGATGGTCGAGGCCTACTATTCTGATTTAGGGTTTGTATATGGGAACGGAATTACTACTCTTTCTACTATAATCCCCAGTGATTAGTTTTTTTGGAGTCAGAAAACCTGGGCTGGGAGTTTTTAGGTTAACTTTAAGTTTTTTTATTTTTTAATAAAAACGTATATTATTAAATTATCAAAAATGCAATTGAATAATGTTCATACTCGCTTCTTACAATTTAACACCATTTATTTACTAGTAGTTTATTTTAAGTTAAGAATTAGTTATTTAATTATTTACTGATATTTTAGTGAAAATAAAATTTTTAGAATTACAATCTATAATTTCAATATTTTGTAAGCGATAATGGTAATGCACGTATAAATTAAAAAAAATAAAATTCTTTACAAGTAACCTGCTTCTAAAAATGTATTTTTTATTTTAAACCTTACAATTAACTTTATACAAACCCGCACTACTCCTGTCTGCTCTTGTGGGGCGCTTGCTGAAGTCTTTAAAGGCCCCTATAAATTGAATTATTTTATCCTAATCCCAATTATTTTTTTTTCTGAAAGCTGAGATTTTTATATTTTTTTTTGGTGGCTTAAGGTACTTTAAAAATATGATTAAAAAGAAGTGTCACGAAATAAACTAAAATTATGTTTACAACCGAAAACAAATCGAAAAAATATCCGTTGGGGGTCGCTCCCAACGTTGGTTTGTATTTGATATATTACCTATATCTTTATTGGCTCTGGGCAGCTCAACGGAGGTAATAAATATAGAATATTTATCCACTACAGAATTCTTAGAAAAAAACTGATTTATACATGATTCTTGCATATTGATTCCGCCGAAATAACTTTTTTACCAGTAAAAAATGTATGTATGGCTATCGACTCCGCCGGACATTTGTACATATTAATTCCGCCGGATATCGACTCCGATATATTGTTGTTTCCATAGGTCCATAGGTTTCAGAAATCCATAGGTCACACATTATACACATTATTTTACAAAATGTATTTATAAAATGGTATTAAAACCAAATATACATATAATACAGCAGGAAAAATAATAAATGATTAATAATAATAAGTAAATATAAAATTCGTTATAATACCATATGAAATGTCATAATATGTCATTTTTTATAATATATAGTGCTTTGACGCCAGTTTAACATAAGTGAATCTATCAATTTTATTATTTCAATAGTTGTAACAAATTTTCGTAATACATTTTTTTTTAATTTCATAGTTTTGGTTTTTGCTAATTTGATTTGTGTTAAGCCCTCTTGTTATTATATACAATTCAGTTTGTATTTTTAAATTTAATACATGGGAAAACAAAAATATATTAGGATGCGCTTTAGTAAGTTGTGTGTTAAGTTTTGAGTGAAAACTGAAATGATTCGCAACTGTTGGTTGTTTGTTCCGATGATACAAGACTTGTAGTTCGACTACTTGTAGTTCAAGACTATAATTTTCGGTTTTTCGATTAAACTTTTATTTACCATATGTAACCGACGCGATAATACGAGATCTCCACTGTAATAAATACACAGGGTATCTTGTTAAGTCCTACCGAACTTCAAATGAGGCATTTAGGATGCCTACAGATACAATAAATTATATATATATTTTTTTTAATTTTAAAATTATTTTCAGATTTAAATCCTGATTTCAAATTATATCAAATTTATTGTATCTATAGAGCATCCTAAATGTCTCATTAGAAGCTCGGTAGAACTTTACAAGGCCCTGTATATACAAATTTCCGGCGGAGTCGATAGCCCGCGGTTTCAACTTGTACAAATGTCCGGCGGAATTGACATTAAAATGGCGGAATCGATAAAACCCCCTCAACAGAGGTAATGAATGTAGAATATTTATCCATTACAGAATTCGTATAAAAAACTGATTTATGCATCATAAAATTCGTTAAATTAATTTTAAGAGAATTTTTTTAGAAAGGTACTTAAAAAAAAAATTATAGTATACCTAACAAATTATTATTATTAGACAGACTATCAACCTAACTATACCCACTCTAATAATGTACACACGATGCTTTTTAATATACTTTTTAAAATCGGATAACATATTATCATTTCAAGACACTAGTAGGTACATTTTACGGTTTTGTGTGTTGTGATTGATTTCAAAGCAACACATGAATAAATATTCATAAGCAGCGAGCCCGTTTTAGGTGACGCACAGTGAAGTATATATAAAAAAGCCGGCGACACATTCCTAAATAATGTGGGAAAAGTTTCATAATCCCTACTCTGGTATACACTAGATTCTCTACTGTATGGTTATTTTATATATATGTAAATCTATAAGTGTCGGGTGTAATAATTTTGCAATAATTTTTGTTCTAAAATATAGTATATACCTGAATTTTTCATAGTTGACTTTCCATGCAATACTATATAAGGGTTGACAACTTGTAATAAACTAAATTTAATTTCTAGAGATGCTGTCATAAATAATGATAAAGAGGCTAATTTTTTAGATGAGTATAAAGATTTATTTGAAGGTCTAAGATGTTTGCCCATTACTTATCATGTCCATATGTAACAATAATGTTCAACCTAAAGTAGATTCTCCCAGAAGAGTTCAATTTAAAATGTATGATAAATTAGAAAAAAAGTAAATGCACCGATTTCATGGGTAAATTCTATACCTAGTTATTGTAAAAAAGAATAATAATAATCTTCGTATATGCTCCAAAAAGTCTTAATATGGTCATAAAACGTTCACACTTTGCATTTACTAGTTTTGAAAATTTTAAATCTTGATTAAATGATTCATGTTATTTTTCTACGTTAGATGCAAGCACTGCTTTCTAGATGGTATCCCTCGATAATGAAAGTGCTAATCAATATACCTTAACACAACATTTGGTTTCTAATCAAATATTAGGCTTCCTTATGGGTTAAATTGTGCATCTGAAGTCGTTCATAGGGTGATGACTGTACATTTTTCTAACATTCATGGTGTATTTCTATAATTTGATATTCTTATTGTACAGGGTGATTCATTTTGGGTAAGACACTAATTTTCTTGGAAAATATGAACATTTAAAAAAAAAAAAATTTCCTATACTTTTAGGTACACATTGTACTACATTTTTCATTACTGTAAAAATTTGTATCTCCAACCCTTAAAAAGGAGTAGGATATCACTTTGTCAAATGACAACATATATTTTAAATTTCATAAATATGTAGACAAAAATAAAAAATAAATGTTATTGTTTGAGTTTTTAATTTTTATTTATTTGTTAGCTTGTTATGACTGTAAAGATTAGAACTTTTGTCTTTATTTCTTAATATGTTTATTCGGTTCGAAAATTACAAGTAGTTTTATTACACCAGTCATCACATAAAATAATAATTTAGATTTTAGTAGATAAGATCCGCTGGTCAACCATTATTTCAAAACATTTTATTGTATTTGGTTCTCGGTGTACTCGCCTATCGGACAATGCAAGCATAAATAAGAATTTTATGGGCTACCGGTCTGTTTGGGACACCGAAGAAATATGACAATTTTTAGGAGAAAACGTAATATCTTTACAAAGTCATAGCTAACGAACATATGTATAAAAATTCAAACAATAACATATTTAAAAAAATTTTGCCTACAAATTTATGGAATTAAAAACGTATGTTGTCATTTGAAAAAGTGAACTTGGACACTTTTTATCGTACAAAGGATAGAGATAAAAATGTTCAAAGTATTGAAAAATATAGTACTAAGTATGTCTAAAAAAATAATATTCAAAATAATTATATTTTCGGAGAAAACTAATGTCTTACCCAAAATGAATCACCCTGTATGTCCTAAGACTAATAAACAGCGTGATTTAATTTTAAAGAAGGTTTTAAAGAGCTCGTCATATTAATATTAAATTTGATAAAAAAAAATGTCAAATAAGAGTCCAAGAGGTAACATTTTTGGGACACATATTCAAGAAAAAAGGATGTTAAGCCAGATGTTGAAAAAGTTAAGGCTATAATTGAATTACTTACCCCAAAAATAATAAAGACTTACAAAGGTTTCTAGGTATGATTACCTAGATTATGATTAGGTATGATTAGATAACTACCTTGGTGCATATGTACCTAACTTAGCTCTTGTATCAAGTATATTACGTGATTTATTAAAATATGATTCATTACGGCAATGGAATGAAAACCATAAAATAGTATTTTGTTATTAAAAAAAAAAAAAAACATAAAAATGTACGGCAAGTAATAATGATCCATACATTTCTCTTAAAAATGATCGCAACACTCCTAGAAGAAATATATATTTTCCATCTCAACTTCAGATATCAAGGTCAATTCGCACAAAATTACCCTTTACAATAAATAATTTAAAACCTAAATTTATAAAATTTAATAATTATCAAAGTAAAGTAAAATGGAGTAGGTAAAACAGATAAAATGGCTAAATATTATAATAAAAAAACCAAAACAAATTATATTCATTAAACACAACACTTTCAGTCCATTAAAATAAATATCAATTTGACAATTGGAGCAATTATTTTACTGATTATTTTAATACATTTTAGAAGATACATGAAGGGAGAGTACATATCATGCGTGTTAATAAGTATTGTACATCTAAAATGTACAAATAGTATTAAACACGTCGTATAATTGGGTATACAAAAGCTAATGGTAACACGGTTTATCCAGCTAATTTTTTTTTAATCAGTTGTGTTAAAACCATTAGAACGTATGTCTACATGTTAAATTATTTGAATGCTTTTGATCCTTTAAAATGATTTTCAATTTGACAATCAACCCACTGGTTATTTTAATGGTATTTTTGAAGTTTCATTATGTCCCACCAAAGATAAAAAATAGTTTCACAACACACTGAGTACGCTTCTGAAATTTCCAGGATAGAAGCAAATCAAATTGAGAGTCAAGTGTCTGGAACCGCAGGCAATGAAATGGAATAGTACAACGGAGAAGATTTAGTAACAAAAATCGAGTATGAATTGGACCTAAATATACAATACGACCCAGATATGGATAATCGTATTGTCGATGAGGAAAACGTAGAGTCAAAATATTACATGACACTACGATTGTTAGGGTGTGTATATACATCTTTTTTTACCAAATAAGAATCAAATGAGTTAATACTATTACAACGTATGTGTACGTGTTACATTGTTTGAATACTTTTGATCCGTTAAAAATGATTTTCAATTTGGCAATCGCATGGTGATTTGGCTAAATTCAAAAGCAATCGCTGCGTTGATATTTCTATCAGAGAAACCACTGACGAATACAACGAAGACGA